AATGATTTAATAATAACAATCCTCAAACCCCCTCAAACGACCACCGTGTCTCCGTACTTTTTATTAGTGAATTCTTCTATAAACCAAACCGTTTTGATTGGCGAGACAATCGAATTGTCTTGCATGGCCTCCGGATGGCCTTTACCTTCAGTACAATGGATAAATTGTAAGAAATTTCTTGATATTATTTAAAAATTGACTAATTGTGTTTTTGTAGATAAAAATGTTACCCTAAGCAATTCTTCCGTATTAACAATAAGAAACGCTTATCCCAAAGACTCTGGATTATATACTTGTATAGCATCAAATAATATTGGTGAAATAGAGCAAACGTTCCAGTTGAATGTTCACCAGAAACCATATTTTAATGCTACTCCTGTTTCAAGTGTTTCACCTACAGCTAAAACAGTCAGGTAAGAATTTATTTGCCTTTTTAAACGAATACCTATTGTAAAACTCGAAAAACGAGATTGGCTTAATTGTAAGCATGATCAGAGCGATATAGGGTGTTCACAAAACCGTTTGCGTTGTGTCTTTCAAAACTCCTGGAATTGTCTCAATGTCCAGAAACATAGACAAAAATTCTTAAAAGAGGTTTCATCTTGATATCGGTTTTTGAGACATGTTTATTTATGAAAGATGTAATCAAATTTCACTTTTTAATGCTGAATCTTCACAAGCAACTAACAATACTTAGTTCACTTGTTTGAGAAAGTAAAATCATAAATACCACAATACGGTAATTTAAAATATTCGAATAAAACATAAAAACACTGGTAAAACAGACCTTCCCGGATAGCAAAGAAATATTCAATAAATATTTTTTTTTAAATATTTTTTAAATATAAAAGCGACAGATTTTTAAATATTATTTAAATATTTTAAATATAATATTTCTGAAACATCAAAAAAAAAATATCATATAATTATTTCAATTATTATATTTCTCAAATATTTACAAAAAATATTATATCAATATTTCAAATATAATATTGCACAAATATGAAATATGAGAAAAAAAAACTTCAATAAATATTTTAAATAGGTATATATTACTCAACTAAATATTTTTTACAAATACGTTTAAATTAATTTTGTCTATTAGGTATTATTGGTTACGTTCACAAGCACTCAACTGTTGCCAACAGTTGAGTAGAGGTATGTTCGCACATAAATTACAAACCAGCCAGAGCATTGGTTGAGGACAGTCAGGAAGCTAGTTCCAACTAATAAAATTCGCTCTGACCAGTTTGTATAATTAATGTGTGAACAGACCTCTACTCAACTGTTGGCAACAGTTGAGTGCTGGTTAAGGTACCCATTAATAGGTCTGTTTCTGCAGAAATCACAAATCAGTCAGTGCGAATTTCATTGGTTGAAAACAGCCAGAAAACTAGTTTCAACCGATAAAATATACTCTGACTGGTTTGTGATTTCTGCAGAAACAGACCTAATATTTTCGCAAACAGACATAACAAAAAAAACGAAAAAGAATAGCAACATCATCATTTGGATTTTCCACATCACTCATTGCCTAAACCGTTGATTGCCTAATCCTAATGAATGTCTATATATACACAGGGCGAAAATTAGTTCGAAAGAGCACACATAAATAACTTGATTATAAGTTTATCACACCGTAGCCACTTGCACTATTAGTATTTTTGTTTTAAACAATAATTATCCACATTTAACACCACTTGAAAACTTAAACCACAATTCACAAAAATCAAAAATGCACGCTAAGGACACACCAAACCCAAAAAGCAGCAGAGCATGAAGTAACATGGCGGCATGGTGTTCGTCGTCCCGTTTTTCGGAGACTTTGAATGCGCGCGCATCCTATTTATGTGTTTAGTCTTTGAGCCCAAATTTCATATCAAACTCAAGAGGTTCGATAGTTTATTGGACAGGGTCATTTTTAATTTTTAGGCTTTATCTACAAATTATGCTAAACATTTTTTTGACAATAAAGCATTATTATAGGGGTTAATTTTTGTATTTTGGATTTGCTAACTTTCTTTCATTTGAAATAGGTATCAACATAATTATTTATTATTACATTATACAAAAACTAGAATACTTACATCACCAAACAAAATAGGAAGGTATTGGTAGGTATTTTGGATTTTTCTCAAATAATATTTTTTAAATATTTTGTAAATAATGGATTTCTAATATTTGCCATTCATTTAAAAGTAAATATTTAATGTATATTACAAAAAAAATATTGCATTTGAAATAAATGAAAAATATTCATTAAATATTTTAATCAAATGATTATCGAACACATTTTTTTAATTCCGAATTATAATTTCAAATGAAAAATCGATGTGAACAAGTGTGCCTGTTTATAATTAGTACTTATTTTATGATACCCGAACAATTTTTTTTTTCAAGAACTCATTTTGCTTTTTTTCAAATATTTGTCGAATATTTTAAAAATAATGGATTTCTAATATTTTTCATCAGTTAAAGATGAAATATTCAATGTATATTATAAAAGAAATATTGCAATTGAAATAAATAAAAAATATTTATTAAATATTTGATAAAAATATTATAAACCAAATATTTATCAAATATTTGTTTAACATAATAAATATTTAAATAAGATATAAATATTATTAAATATTTAATGGATATTTAATAAATATTTCGTGCTATCGGGGTTGTATTAGAAAAATACTTGTCTTCTTATAATACAAAATCCTTTATTCAAGGCTGGACTGTCAAGCTAAAGGAATCCCCCAACCAAAAATCATATGGCTTAAAAACGGACAACCTCTAACGTCAACGTTTAGAATCAAAAAGCAGCTCTTAGGATTGGTGTTCACTGAAACAGTTTCATCTGATGCAGGTTTGTTAATAATTCTTATCAATAGTTTATCTAAGACTATACGTTTTTTCTAGGAATTTATCAATGCATTGCTGTTAATGAAGTAGGACGAGTATGGACAACGGCCCAAATAGAAATCAACAATTCGCACAGTCCTGGTCCACCTCAAGACGTTAAATGTTGGCCTTACGACGACGACAAAATATGCGTGAGCTGGAAAAGTCCAGCTAATGTTTCTGTTCAGGCTTATAGTGTCTATTCTTCCTATACAAGTAATAAATTGACAAGAGATAAGGCAAATTATTGTTTTGTTTATTGCAGATGATGGTGGTTTTGAAGTTGCCGGACCAGAGTACCTGATTCAAGATACTTTTCAATTGGCGCACGACCTGAAATATAGTACAAATTATTCCTTTTACGTTAGGTTATATTCGAATCGTGCTAGCGATCATTCGGAAACTGTTACATGTCAAACCGGTTAGAACTTTTGATTTTAAGCTAAACTAAATTTCTTAAACGAAAACTATTGTAGGTCTTCAAGGTTTAAGAAATTTGGATATAGAAGCTACCAGTAGTACCTCAGTGTTTTTAAAATGGGACTTGTTGAGTTCTGATACCCTTTGCAATAGTACAAAAGATCCATATGTGGTGCAATGGTTTCGAGACGGCGACGACGATCACCTATCTAATGCAATAACTATGGCAAGAAACTTTACCGTTTCGGGTGAGTTTTGAGGTACCGTTGGACTACTTCCAAAAATTTGATTCCATATTTCAAAATCACCAAAATTCAGGTTTTAATACCACATATAATTTATAGCATTGCTTCCTGCTACTGACTACCAATTCCGTGTCGTAACCCAAAACTATCCCCAAGAGGAACCCTGGATTATGTACAGCCTTCCCGACATTCCAGAAGCTGAAAATGTCACATTAGATCCTTCCAACGAATTGAGAGCCCCAAAATATTTGCATGAAGATGGTACCACTTCGACTAGTACCCGAGTATCTTGGGACCGAGTTTTGAATGCCAAATTTTACACTGTTTGTTATGTACCTGCCAAAGAAAATCGAGAGTGTTTGGAGGATGATTATGTTAAAAGGTGAGAATTGAGCTTTTTTTCGCAGATGATAATAATGTGTGTTTTTCAGTTACTCACCAAAATATTCAGTTTCTAAATTGAAACCAAATACTGAATATGTTTTTAGAGTTAGAGCTTATGACTCTAGTAATCAGGCTGGAGAAATTTCGCAACGTTGGGTTGTGCGTACACTGGCTGATCGTAAGTTTTGTTTTTTTAATGAATCTCTAGACAGGGCGTTCAAATTATTGCATGTTTGATGTCGGTCCATAGTCATAAATTAGCAATAAATGCTTTTTTATAAGGGGAATAATGCATACAGCTTCTTCAAGCTACCACGAGTTTTGGATTTTCAATAAAACTACTTTGTATTACTCATAGTGCAAAAGCATATGACCTGCCCAACATGAATCTACGTGCTTTGTTTTACTTTGACAGTTCTTGTACTATTCTAGCTCCGTCGCCCGTGATTGCGCTAAATTTCGATGCTCTTAACTCTTCAACGGTTTGCATATACTGGCGACAGCCGGAAACAAAAAACGGAAAATTGAAAAATTACGTTGTATCCTATACAACGGACAAAAATTGGTCCCTGGAACATCTAACTGAGTATATTGTACCAGTCAACCAAAAGAAATCTGAAATTTGCCACGAAGCTATTGACCCTGGTAAGATTTTGATTTGCCAAAAATAAATTCAGTAATTCAGAGGTATATGTTATTAGGGTTGGTTTCCACATATCTGACCAACTTATCTACTGAAAACCAATACCTTGTAATGGTAAGGGCTGCAAATGATGTAGGAGTAGGCATGCCATGTCCACCCATTGTAGTTAAAACCTACAATCTCGCCTCAAAAAATGATGAAATGCTCAATGGTACCGAAGACGATATGGCTGACAACCAAAAAATTGGTAAACTGATTTTCGTGCAATACCTAACTTATACAAAAACTACATTTTTTTAGGCATAATATTGGGAGTAATATTGGCTCTGCTATGCGTTTTTTGCTGTATCACTTTTATACTATTGAGAAGAAGATGCATAAAAAGACGCGCATTAACAAGAGCCAGGCAAGGTATGTCTACCAATCGTCATCCTGCAGTTGCGCATTACACATCGCAATTAGGAACCGTCCAAGTCAGGTAAAAAACTGGAAATTAAGTAAAATGCTTATGACTGTTTTGTTATTTGTAGAATGCAAGAGCCTTGTTCCATGGATGAACACGAAATTGAACATTTAGTGTCTGAGGAACGAAGTTCGCATATACCGCCAGTTACACCTGATCATCTTGATACAAAGGTAACTGGGATATTTTTACTACAAGCGAACAGGGCCGGTATTCTCGTTCTCGAAAACGCTCACCGCTTTTCAGTCGCTCGGCACTTTCAATGTAAATTTGCATTTAAAGTGCCGAGCGACTAGAAAGCGGTGAGCGTTGTTGAGAACCAGAATACCGGCCCAGGTCAATTCTGTGCACATCTGTAAGCAAATCTATAACTTGCTATAAACCTATAAACACTGCAAATAGCATTGATTGCCAAACACCCGATAGTTATAGATTTGCTTACAGATATGCACAGAATTGACCCGTAAGAGATTTTTGATATAGGACAGCAACGTTGAACATTTTCAATTATATTGGGTAGTTATTCAATATACTAAAGCTAATTACTTTTATTAGGGTGTCAATGATTCTCCAAATGGATATGTTAACGGCATCAAAAAACATTCACAGTTGAACGGCAATGCTATGAATGGTCATGTCCATATTACTGAAAATCCTCAAGTGAGTATACCCTTTTATTTATTGACAAACTAACCAAACAACATGGAAAATATCACAATTTCAAGTCATTTCACAATAATTCCTATTGATTGTACTTAAGGCTTTTATTTCAAGCACTCAAAATAAATTACATATCACTTGTGGGATATCTTTGCAATTCTACTCCAAAATATACACAAGTAAAAGAAGACTGCGAGATGTACAGGGTCATCCAACGACGACTGAATAGGGGCTTATTTTTGACGTTCCCTGTTCCTGTAGTTTCGAAAAAATTCAAAACAGCCAATTGGCATATTTTTTTCTGGAGAATTTTAAAATGCTATAAAAAAATCATTTGAACCAAAAACCAAAGAGTTACGACATGGGTGAAGTGTTTATCAAATGAAACACCCTGTTTTTGTATGATTTTTGGAAAATTCGCATTTTTTACGTCGAAAATATTCGATATTCCGCTGTTTTTATTTTATTTTAATCTTTTAGGCTTAATAATTTTTGCTTTTTCTTTTCAATTTAATAGGTGATAGAGGTATAATCACCTTTTGTTCAAAGTCAAAAGAAATTTGACATATTTTGTCGCCATCACAGATGTATTGAACAAGTGAGGCTGTAACGACACGCACGTAAATTTTAGACAAAGTCTAAACCGTAAGCGAGCTATCACGTTTTATTTATTGCAAAAATAACGGTTCGTAAATCCGTCAAAAAATTGGGTTTAAAATTAGGCCAAGAATTTACCTTATTCATAGAATTGCTAATATGCGTCTCTCTTCCGTTGTCACTTGTGGAAACATAGCGCCAATTTTCTGGAGAAATTTTGTCTTGGATATGACTCACGCGATTACTAATAAAGGTTTGCCACCTGTGAGCAGAAGATTTGATCCAAGCCAACGCTACCCTTGAGTCTGACCAAGCAAACGTATTTTTTATTACGACTTTACTATCCAGAACGTCTCGAACAAATTCCACTAAATTTGACAACAAAATAGCTGCATAGAGTTCCAGACGCGACAAAGTCACCCTTTTCAAAGGTGCAACTTTGGATTTTCCACTAGCGAAATAAATTTTATACTCGACGCCCACAAGAACGCGAAAAAAAATGACACAACCATATCCTGCTTGGCTTGCATCACAAAACCCATGCAATCAGTGGCGTAGCCAATAGGGGGGCAGGGGGGGCGATGCCCCCCCCGCCCCCACACGTATGGCGTCCCTACCGCTCATGAAAAACAAAAGCAAAAAAAGAGAAATTATAAAGTATTATGCAGTTTCTTATTTATTTTATTGTAAGTCGGCATTGTCGGCAAATGGTTCAATCAAAGGAAAGGTGATAGTTTCTGTTTTGATGTGGTATTTGTTTATTGGGTTGGGTGCGACTACCATCTGTCCGGATTTCCCCGGATTTATGTTCTAGTTCTCAAGGCGTCCCCGGAGACGTTTGGAAGGATTTTTTGAAGTTAACGGCATGTCCACACATTATTTCTTGTAAGGCTCAAAATAAAGTCTGTTTTTTTATAAGATATAAAAGTCAAAATGACATTATATGTTGGCTATACAATGAAAAGTTGTCAATGCTTTCACATTTTTTATGTAGAAAAGGCTTGTGTTCCCTAGATGTTTTTCGGCCTGGTACCCTGAAATAGTGATGCCGCAAGACTCGAGACTGGTCTTGTCTCGTCTCGTCTCGACTTTTCGAGACGAGACTGACTTTTGGTCTCGTCCCGTGAAGTCTCGACGAGACGAGACCAGACTAGGCGAGAGTCTCGCGTAGTCTCGAGTCTCGAGATTACAATTGAAATTTTTCTTTGACAGCTTTATTATTGGACTATTCTGGGCTATTTGAATATGGAATCAGAAAAAAAATTAAACGTGAAATTAAAAAAAATGACGATGAATAAGTTTTTGAAAAAAGAATCACCCTACAATTTTTTGTAAATTTTAATACTAACAATTGATGGGATTATTTCTACATACCTACTTAATTTTCAGATTCCACTTTTGGTTTAGCTAGTAGTGAGATCAATTTAAAAAAATGTTTAAAGCATAATAGGCACTTTCGGCTAAACTGGAAGTTAGATCTGAAGATAAAGAATGTAGAAAGCATCTCATTAATTCACAAAAAAAAATACAGAGTGATTCTTTTTTCAAAAACTATTTTGTCCGACATTTTTTTTTTATTTGACGTTCATATTTTTTCAAATATCACGGTTGCTCTTTACTGTGATTTTTCACTTTTCGAATAACTGCTTTTTCACTGCAGCAGTTTGGACTTACGTTATAATATTAAAATAAGAACCATAAATACAGGGTGTCCGGAAAATTGCGTAAAAGCTCTCCACGTAGTAAGGGATCCTTTGAGAAACCCTAGAAAAATAATTGGAAAAATCCTTCTCCAGCATTATTCTTGGTAATATGAAGAGGTAAATGTGAAAATTCACCTTCTAACTCTACAGGTAATTACATAGGTATTTAGTTTAATTAGGCAATTCAAATCACATGACATTCAAGATGGCGTGGCGGCCACACATGGACCAAAAGACACACAAAAATGTCTAGTTTCTGCCCGACTTAATAGTTTACGTACCTAGTAAACAAGCGTTTCGTCTTTGCTATCTTTCCCCAATAAGCAAATATGAAGTTGAAGACACAATGACAAATACAATACAAGGTACAAGTGATAGATACATACCAAAAAATCGAAATTTTGTATCAGGTCATGTCAATTAAATTTTATCCTGTATTCAATTATTCTTGGTTATAGCATTGATACTCGTGTTATTATATTTTTGTCTCTTATCACTTGTACCTTGTAATTGTCATTGTGTCTTCAGTCTTACGAAATCATACAATTACAAACATTTATTTGTTATCCTCCAGAAGATTTCATGGACGAATCGAACACCACCCAGCTTAGTTGATATAGACTCCTCTCGTATGACGCAATGATGGGGTATGTAATATTGACCAGGCTTATCATCTGGACTAACAGGCGACATACATATAACCAGCATCCAGATATTCCCGCATAAAATCTCTATACGAATCCAACAAACCAGGGTTTTTATACAATCTACTCTCCAACGAATAAAGTCTGCGTAAAGCCAAATTTTTTGACTTACCAAAAATCGGACTTTCTACTCGAAAAGGCAAAGCAACCACATACCTGGAAAATGCATTTCTAACATGAGTTTCCTTATACAAATTTTCACAGATTTCAGTTTCGGGAGAAATAGCTATTTTATTAGGAACGCTTTCGACTTCCCACAGTCTCTTGATATTTTCATCCAAGGACTCCAAAGTGGTGGAACAATAAGGGCGGGTATTATAAAACTGCTTTGACTGTTAACTTGAAGTTAACTTTTTGAATTACATGTATTTTCAGAAGTTAACTTTAGGTTAACTCTCAAAGTAGTTTTATAATACCCGCCCTAAGTCGCCAAAAAAGCGTCTTTTTTACGAATTTTATTAGAAATTTTGGATTTTCCCAGAGCGACCCAACCAAAAATAGTTTCCATAAACACAGGCCCATCCAAGTCTGGCGGACTAATCGTATTACCTTTCATAATGGAACCAAATTCAGCCACTCCTATGAGCATGTCTATGCGACTTTTCCAAAATTCAGTATCAGCAAGTTCAAGGCCATCGAAATATGACTTATCAGGAATTTTAACTGGATGAAGTGGCAGTTGACAGCAAATTTCGGGAAGGACTAAAACCTTCAACGACAACCTTGGTTCTGGGCAAAATTGAGGCGTCACAATACATTCTGCAACTCCTCTTGCAGTTACATATCCGCTATTACCAATTCCTGCAATCTGCATTTCACATTTCTCTCGAGGCAACCCAAGACGTCTCAAACAACCTTCCGAAATGAAGTTGGCGGCTGAGGCAGAATCAAGTAGGACCCGAATCGGCAAAAAAATACCACCCGAATTTTTAATTTTAATGATGGCTGTAGGAAAAATCGGGACTGCTTCGGTAGACGAAACCAAAGACGTGACCACGGGAAGAGCTCCACTATAGCTGTCAGATTCACTTTCATTTTGCTCGCTGGCTGAAAGTGATGGAGGTTTCCCCGAAGACGCAATTGAACTGCCATTTCCACTGGTTTTCGAAAAATGCAACAGCTTATTATGACGATAACCACACCCACATACCTGTGTAACTGTGCAGTCTTTGACACCGTGGGTTCCAAAACAGATTAAGCACAAATGCCTACTTTTAACAAAACTAAACCTTGAATGTGGATTTTTTGTGGGAAACTTACTACGAGAGTTCAGAGAATGACCCTCTTTACAAAGCGAACAAACAATTCCACCAGCAACAAAAACACTAGGTGGTTTTCTAAATGGAAGACGCCTTTCCTTACTTGGGGTGGAAAAATTCGAATTATTTTTGACAGCAGCTTGAATAGCATTTGAAGTCTGCATAGCGCGAAGTTGAGTATCCAAAAATGAATAAAGGTCCTTGTGAGACGGTTGCCCCGTCGGAATATTAACATTAAGTTTTTAGCAAACTCAAGTTCAAATCTATTGCGCGTATTGCTTGGTAATTTGTACAAAAGTAAATGAAAGTTTACGAAATCCCATTGATCAACTGGGTATTTTAAGTTTCTAAGTGCTTCTAAATTTTCAGAAAGGGTATTCAAAAGTTTGCTCAATTCAGCAAGATTCTCGTCTCCCTTTAAAGCAGGAAAAAAATAAATTTCATTCCAAAAATTGGTAGCGATCAACCTATGATTTTCATATTTTTTTACCAAAGCATTATATGCAATAGAGTAATTATCATCTGTAAGGGGCATAGTACGAACTAAAGCCAAAGGTTCCCCGTCCAAATACTTGAGCAAATATCTAAATTTATCAATATCAGACAACTCGGTATCACGATGAATGCAACCATTGAACATGTCAAAAAATGTTCTCCATTCTTTGTAATCGCTCGAAAAAAAAAACCCTTACTCCCAATGGCTCTAACCTAACACTTTTTACAGGTACCCCGGTGGCCGAGGGACCATTATCAACAAGCTCAAAATAAATTGCTTTGAACCCATAAAACATTTTCGAAGTAGTGGCCCTAACTTCATCCTGTTTGGAAAACTCTTCATCTCCCAAAACGGACGTCAAAATTATTATATTATTATGTAGTTCCTGAAATTTCGAAAATTCAATCAAAGTTTCCTCGTACCTACTCTTCAACTCGTGAATTCGGGAGTTATTCGATTTAGCTTTAACTGCTAATGAGTAAGCTTCCTGGATATTATTGGAACAGGTGTTTCGTTGAAAGTTATATCTATTCACCTTTTCAGTAGTAGCGGCCGAAAGTGCCATTTTTTTTTTGTACAAAATGAGCCAAATTATTCTTATTTTGTTTATTTATTTCTAATTAATTTTTTAATGTTGAGTAAAATCAAGCAGCATTCAATAATACGGTCCTGCTCTTTTTGTTTAAAACAAGCTCAAAACCATTAAGTTTATTATACCAAAGGCAAAGTTTACAGCCAAAGGCCTGCATACAACACTAGGTACCCAAAATAAGTATATTTATCCCATTTTGACGTTTAAAAATGACATTATTGAACGCATAATAACAAAGGTAAGTAGACGTTTATCACCTGAGTGACTTAAAATATTTTTAATTCACTCTCGGTTTTTAAGTCACTCTGCCAGTTTAAAAATCTGCTACAAATACAAACAAACAAATAGTTATACCCTAGCAACTACCAGTTTCAATATTTGATATGCGCTCGCTATATGAATTCTTTTTATAATTTGATTCCTATTAAGTACCTTATTTTTCGAATGTCTATCTATCTAAAATGGGATAAAATTTTGTATACATCACGTGAGTTAAAATGTTTATTCATTCGAAGAAAATTAACCCACTCGCTAGGCTCGTGGGTTAAACTTTCTTCTCATGAATAAACATTCATTTAACTCACTTGGTGTATAAATAACTATTATCCCATTTTGATGTTTAAAAATAACATTATTGAACGCATAACAATAAAGGTAGGTAGACGTTTATCACCTCAGTGATTTAAAAACATTTTAACTCACTCTCGGCATTTTAAGTCACTCTGCCCAACTAAAACTCTGGAACTTCAGTGATTTAAAAAATTATTTAATTAAACAAATGATTTGCCCAACCTTTTACCTGGATCTCTTCTCGGCTTTCCAAATTCCAATCCCACAGCAGGTTCTTGTCGAGAACGAAAGAGTCCAGAAAATAGCGGCGCGGCACGAAAATTAAGCACAATTTGTTCGAATAGAAAAAATCAACTTTTTAGGCCCAATATCCGGCTCGAAGGACCATTTAATGTAACGACACGCACGTAAATTTTAGACAAAGTCTAAACCGTATCTAACCGCTATCACGTTTTTTTTTATTGCAAAAATAACGGTTTGTAAATCCGTCAAAAAATTGGGTTTAAAATTAGGCCAAGAATTTACCTTATTCGTAGAATTGCTAATATGCGTCTCTCTTCCGTTCTTCCCAATATATCGCGCGTATTTTTGGCGCTTAGGTGCTCGAGAGTGGGAATGCGGTATCCATACTATACTGTAACTATACAGAGAGGTACCGCAAAAGGGTGCCTGGATGAACCAGGCCTATATAGTATAGGCTGAGCAAATTTTATATACAACCCAAAAAATATATACATTAAATTTATACAATGAATCTTGTTTTCAGTTTCCCCAGAATTACCAAATTAACTAATAAATGAAATTCGATTGAGATCGAACAGAGGCTAAAATTATTAAGGATAAAACATTAGTAGTAGTAGTAGTAGTTAACTAAAATAGAAAAAAAAGTTTATTAAAATAAAATAAAAATAGGTATCAGGATATCAAATATTTTCAAAGGAATGGACGGTAAAAATGCGACTTTTCCAGAAATTATATAATAAACAGGCTGTTCCATTTGAAAAACAGTTCATCCATGACGTACCTCTTTGGTTTTTAGTTCAAATGATTTTTTGGTACCATTTTCGAATTCTCCAGAGATAAATATGCCAATTGGCTATTTTGAATTTTTTCAAAACTACAGGAACAGGGAACGTCAAAAATAAGCCCCTGCTCAGTCGTCGTTGGATGACCCTGTACATCTCGCAGTCTTCTTTTACTTGTGTATATTTTGGAGCAGAATTGCAAAGATATCCAATAAGTGGCAGGTAATTTATTTTGAATGCTTGAAAAGAAACCCTTACGTACAATCAATGGGAATTATTGTGAAATGACTCGAAGTTGTGATATTTTCCATATAACTTTGCATTGGGGGATGGCAGGAGAGTTAGGGACCACTCTAGCTGCCGGCAAGATGTACTTTCCCATACTTTAGGATCACAGGAATACGAATTTGAGCGTTTTTGCCGGTCCTCACATTTTGCATACTCAACTACTTGTAGCGCCTGCTCTACAAGGACATCAAGTTCTCAAAGTCACTCTATTGAAGCGTCTTCCACTAACAGATTGATAGTGAGCATAGCTGCACTAGAATTTTTCTTCACATTACTCGCCCCTTAGTCCATCCTAGCCTTGCCGCTGTTAGCCCACAAGACAAATATTTATGGCCCCCGGTATACAATATGCCAGCAACGTCAGCACCTAACAATAACTCGATCGTCACAGGATCTCGGGAATCGGAAAGTTCAATTGCCAGACTTGCTCACTCGGTTGACCACTGACCACTAAAAACGGGGGAAACATCCCACAAATAATTGGCTGATCAAGGGTCATGGACTTATCACCACACACTGTGACGTCATAACATTTGTGCTCATAAGCCGCCTTTCGACCTCCAAACAAACAGTGGATCACATTTTCTGAGCGCTTCGGTACATATTCGAGCTGAGCTGCTGTTTATTTCAAAATGTAACTCCTATGAGAGCCGCTATCCACATTGCCCTTACTGACTCGACTTGACTCGAAGGGTTTGCAAAAATACATGCGTGTTAGTGTGATTCGCCAAAACCTGATCCCGTTCAGCAGTCTTTTCCTCTCGACTTTCATTGATTTGACAGCTATTACCAAGTTGCTCTTGCTTTGGAACACTTTATCAATTGCCAAACCAGAACACATCCAGTACCAAATGGGATTTCTCAAGTAAAATACAGTAGAACCACCATCTGCATCTTTGTGCTGGGTGACCTATTTTCAAACAGCGGAAACAGGCCTTGTTGTTGAACAAAATATTTCGTTTTTCCTCCATGGATAATTTTTGGGCTTTAAAACATGGGGCATTTTCATGCGAACCACTACAAAAAATACATTTGGCAACATCACAGTTTATAAGACCCGCGGCGGTTGGAACGACAGTGTCATTTCTAGCAAATCTTCTTTTCCTCAAATTATCTTCACTGGATCCCAAGCTGACTCCCGACATACGCTCTGTCAAACCGAAATCCTCGGTGACCAACTTAATCCCTAACTCGTTCTCCACTTCATTATTGAGAAAGCTTATTAGCCCTCTTAACCTCAACTCAAACACAGAGACGTCAAGCTCCTATTCTTGTAACTGCGGAGCAGCGTTCTCATGAGAACTTAAGGTTCTGTCTTAATCGCCCATATTTATATTTCCATAACACTGACAAAGACAGATCAATCGAGAACGGTGTTCCCCGGTTACGAGAATAGACACCCAATACTATTGGCGGCGCTAGCTATGGAACAAGACGAACGCTGCCAAAATCTGGAGGTAAACCGGATTCAATTAATGGGAAAAGCATAGCAGAACAGCTACCTGCTGTGATACCTAGCGTCTCGAGTGCCCCCAGCAGTCGGCAGTAACAGTTTGCAATTACAAATAAAGAAAACGAGAATATCCGAATAAAACTTTGTCCGTATTCTAACTTCGCACTCGCGAAATCCGAAATTTGAAACGTCGATTTGCCACTGTAAAACCGTCCTGTCACGGACGCCAAAAAAAGGGAGAGCCAGATAAGACTACCTGTCTTAAAAACGGTTTACAGGGCAAATGATAAACTACGAATTTCAAAACACAGAACGTAAATTATTAATGATTGAGAAACGGAGACAATTTGTTTATAATAATAGAAACTCTAACACACTGGCATGGTGTGGCGTTGCCGTTAATAAATTTTCCTCATTCTATAGAAAATGTTCAATGTCTCGAACACTACCTTTATAATAACATCAAATTTGCTTTGCATAAAGTCTTACCTTTAAAATGGGTTGAAATTCTCAACCCTGATTGGTTAAACATTTTATATATCATAGCATTGACTATATTTTCAAGAGAATAGTTATTTAGTAAAGCGTTACTATGAGGTACAGACTGGTAAATGATGTTTGGAAACATTATTTAAACGTTAAAAACCTCAAACTTACACGTTATTGAATACCTAACTATTCCATAGGAGGATGCATGAATAATCATCATATCAGCAACTTAATTAATATTCTTCGCTTATTTTTTTCAGTTCTACGCATTCGAATGTAATGGTAACATGGCGAAAAACAAATCTGAGCCGCTACTAAGACACTACGAAGAAGACTCAAATTCCAACGTGAAACCATCAAAATTCTACGACTTCTACAAAATCTTTGACAGCCCGAAAAAGCCCAAGGAGTCTCAGCATCATTCGCCCTACAGTTCCAAATCAAACGGATCGATCCAAGACGATTCGTTGAACTCCACTCAACTCACTTTTCTGAACGATTCAATCAACAGTCAAAGGAGACTGTCTCCAGTACTGGAACCTAACGGTTAATCGCAAACCATTTTATTTGGTAGCTAGAAGAAATTTTTATACAAGAAATACCATAGAGCATAATTTTTGCCTTGAAACAATAGCTAGAGAAAAAATGGTTGACCATTTTTTTTTTTTCAAATTCCTCACCGACTGATTTTTATATTTAAGTATTTTAAGGAGCATTTTTTGCATGATTTGGGAAACAAACAGAGTACATTAGTATTCGATTTGCTGCTGGTAGGCAACTTTGACAAGGTAAGCCAAAGCAATTGAAAACTTTTTCAAATCTATCCAGATTCAATTTAAAAATATTCTTAAAGGTTAAATTATTATTGCAGGTCTAGTTTCCCTATTAACTTTTGAAGTTTTAAAGAGGAATGAAAATTAAATTGTTAATAAGGAACTTGGCCCTTAGAGTGAATCATTTTTACACCATTTTTGACAAATATTCTTTTTTTTTTTCAAATTAAAGAACATTTTTCAAATCTTGACTACAGTGTATGTACATATTTCAAAATTAAACAAGTTCATTGTAAGTAATATCAAGTCATTATTGTTATCACACAGAAAGAAAGGAAATTGATTGAACACAATTCATCAAAACATGAAAAATCATTGAAAAAAAATATAACAAATTAATTGAATAAAATTTCATAGAAAATACAAACCTGGTTATGAATTGCATTCATTGATTATGAAAGAGCAATAAAATCTTGAGAACGGGACACCGATTATTATTAAACTAATAGAATCAACTGAAACTATTGAAATAAAACCATAAATGTTTTCAAAAGACTAAAGGGTCCCACACACTACGTTCTGTTTCGCCGGTTTTCATCGTCGCGAATAACAACGTCGTGTTTCTTGTTTCTTCTTCTTGTGACAAACAGAATCTTGTTTTGGTTGTTTCATTCACACCTAGATGGGAAATTACCAATGATTACTATTATTTGTTGACTACTTTACTACTGTCATGCATTCTATGATTAACTCTCTGATCTACTGAAATGTGTGATGATGCCATGCATTTTGTGATGTGTTCGATGATGTGTTTGGATTTTGTATGAATATGTTCCTTGAGTTTATGTGTGCCTTCCAAATTTCAATGTTATACCTCTTAATATAGTCTGTGATTTCTTTTGCTTCTCTGCTAGTTGGGTTGGCCAAGATTTCCTCTAACATTATTGGACTATTCTTGTATTTAACTAGCTTTAAATACAATTCATCATTTTGTATTCTTCTCTGTCTGCAATTCAGCATGACGTGAGTGATGTCTTCCACTCCTCCACATTCACATCTGTCATTGGGAACTATGCCAATTTTATGCAAATGTTGGGGAGTTTTCCAGTGAGTCGTTCTCATTCTGCAGCATGCACTTATTTTATGCCTTATGGATCGGTGCAAACCAGGGTATTTTTTGAGGTTCCTTCACTATGGAAAAGTATTTGCTATTACAGTTGTCTCCCTTTTCTCTGTAAATGTTGTTCCACTCTATACATGCCTCCTCTTTAGCATGTTTGTAATATTTTGAGTAGTGCCTCTCATTGTTAACATAATTGTCTGAGATCCTGCCCCTCAAGACCAGCCTGTCCGCCATCTCGTTTCCTGCAATACCCAAGTGCCCCAGTATCCATATCATTTCTATTGTCACTTCAGTTTCCCGCAGCTCCATTATTAGTTTTCTAGTCTTCAACGTGATTTTTTTTCTTCTGATTCCACTCCTATTTTTTGTATTGCACTCTTGGAGTCTGCTATTATGAGAGCCATTTTGGTATCTTCTCTTAAGGACTTGAGAGCCACATATATAGCCAGAGTTTCCGTTGTGCAGATGTTGATATTGTCCATACATTTCCCCATTATTTTGATGTCTCTTGTTTTGTTATAATATATCCCAACCCTGCATTTGCCCGTAGTGGGTTCTAGGGAAGCATCTGTGTAGATTGTCTCAAACCCAGGAAATCTGCTGAGGATTTCCTCCATTCTTTTTTGCGAGTCCTGTCCATGTTTTTCTATTTTGGAATCTGTCCATTTTATCTTTGCTAATTGCATTCCATATTCATATTCAAAGCACCGCCTCCATCATTGATGGACATTGTTTACTCCTCCAGTATTTCATTTCTTGATTGTACAGCGCATAGTCCAGTAAGTTCTTGTTCACCTCATCTCCACCAATGTCCATTTTCTTGAGGGCAAGCTTTGTACATAACCAACTTCTTCTGATTCTAAGTGGCATTTGGGCCGTTTCTGAAAGTAATGCATGTACCGGCGTACTCTTCATACATCCCGTGACGACTCTTAGAGCTTGAAATTGTGTTCTGTCCATTTTATTTCAATTGAGTTTACTAGTATGATACATACCCTGACAGCCATAATCCAGATGTGTTCTAACCAAATAAATGTTTATAGAATGTTGGGATCTGCTCCTCACCATGTTCTCGTTAAAGCTCTCATATAACGTTTATACCCCTTTGTGCTATTTTTGTAGCCTGATCTATCTGGGTGTTCCATAATAGTCTATAGTCTAATGTAACTCCTAGGTATTTATATTCACTGACCCACTCTATCTCGTGATTTTGAATTTTAATTTGTTCCACCGTGTATCTTCTCCTTTCCTTGGAGAATACCATTGCCTTAGTTTTACCGACCGAAATTTCCAAATTATTATCCTTGAGCCATTTGTTTAATTTGTTTATTGCACTTTGTACCTTTTGCATAGCCCGTTCAGTTTCTTTGTCCGCCACAAACATTGCCAAATTATCTGCATATTATAGAATTGTTGTTACTGTTCCTGCTACTTCTTGTATTTTATTGGTATACAGGTTGAACAAAATAGGACTCAAAGGTGATCCCTGTGGTAGTCCCATGCACGCCACCTGTGGACCAAGTACAACACATTGTCATAAACTGACTTGATATCGATGAAGACACATACCACTGTCTGGTTTTGTGTGTAGGCTGTGTATATTTTGTTCGCCAATATCACCAAGTTACCTGTAGTTCCCCTCCCTTTTCGGAATCCATTTGCGGACTTAAGAAATTCTTGTTCTCAAGGAAATGTTCCATTCTACTTTCAATGATTCCTTCCAAAATTTTCCCTAGGCATGAGGCCAATGCTATTGGTCTAAAAGCTGTATGGTCATTTTGTTCCTGGTTAGGTTTTTTTATTGGTATTATTGTATGGTTTTTCCATTCTGTTGGTATTCCCAGTTCGGCTACCATTATTTTGTTATATATCCCTAGTAGGGCTCCCTTAATAAAATTCAGTGTATTTTTTATCATTGAGTAGGCAATATTGTCCATCCCTGGTGCTGCGTCCTTCTTGTAATCCTCTATTTCTTCCCATGTTAATTATTATTATTATTATTATCATTCTTGGAGCAAACAAGCGGCAGAGCCGATGAGGTTGTTCCTATCTAGTTTTACAGACTATAGTGTATAAGTGTATATTTTTGTTTTTCATTTCAGCATCAAGTCGATTTTTAAACGTGTTTATATTGTTAACAGACACAGTTTCCTCTTGTAGGTTGTTCCACTCATAGACCACACGATTAATCAAAAAGTTCCTTCGCATCAGTTTGCTGCACTTCTCCTTCTCCAACTTCTTAGAATGGCCCCTCAACTTCCGTGACGTACTCAATTTAAATATACTACCGCAAGGGTAATATCCAGTAATCCACTTAAAGGTCTCAATTAAGTCTCCACGGGTCCTTCTTTCTCTAAGTGTCGTTAGGTGTAGGTGTCTAAGTTTGTCTGTGTATTCCATGATCCTCAATGTTAGAGGTATCCTAGTGACTTTTCTTTGTACCCTCTCCAATTGTTCAATATCCTTTATGTAATATGGGTTCCACACAGTATAGGCAAATTCTAGTTTTGGTCAAATGTATGTTTGATAGATTTTTAGTACCATTTCTTCAGGCAAGTCTTGGAATGCTTTTTTGACCAAGTATATTAATGTATTGGCCTTCTTTACTATACTATTAATGTGTGATTCCCACTTAAGGTCTTCAGACATTATTATCCCTAGATCTTCATGGGTTTTTACAGATTTTAGTATGTGTTGATCTATTGTGTATTGTATTCGGGAGTTTCCCGTACCCATATGCAACACAACACATTTGTCAGCATTGAGGGGAAGTAGCCATTGTTTGGACCAGTCACTAATTTTTTGTAGATCACTCTTTAATGTAATGGATGGATTTCCGTATATTTTGGTATCGTCTGCATATAAAAGGATGTCAGAGGTGACAAGTCGTGGTAAATCGCTGGTATAAAGAAGGAACAATAATGGTCCCAACACAGACCCCTGTGGTACTCCACTTGTGACAGTGTACATTGGTGAGAGTTGGTCAGTATTCCCTGTCTGTCAGGAAGCTCTTTATCCAGGACAAAAGGTGTCCTCTCACTCTAAAGTGTTCGAGTTTGCTGAGCAGTCTTTTATGGGGTACTTATTTATCGAACGCTTTCTCATAATCAAGGTATATAATGTCAATGGGTTCGTTATATTATCTAAACACGCTGACCATTGGTTCACCGCAGTCAGTAGGTTGGTTGCAACTGATGTTCTTGAGAGGAAACCGTGCTGGCTCTCAGGTATGATATTGTGGTGTGTCATAAATTCTGTTAATTCTTTGGTGACTACTTTTTCCATTACCCTACCAATGCAGCTTGTCAGACTTATGGGGCAATAGTTGACTGGATTGTGCTTGTCACCTTTTTTATATATGGGCACTATGATGGCTTTTTTCCAGTCTTGTGGAAGTTTTTGGTCACTCATTGATTTGTTCATGATGTTTGTAAGATGCTGACTGATGCTCTCTGCACAATTCTTGAGAAATATTGGCGGTATTTCATCAATCCCTGGGCTGGAGTCTATTTTCAAACCTTTGATTGCTTCTTCTATTTTGATTGGTGTAAACTCAATGGTTGTAATATGTTCCTCAACCCCATTGATGATTTGTATTGGGGGTGGTGGTGTACTAGGCTCAGTTGTATACAGTTCAGAAAACTGCCTGGCAAAC